GAGACAGTGTGCTGGTCTTTAGTGGACATGTTTCTGGAGGGAGAGAAAGGGAGACAGTGCTGGTCTTTAGTGGACATGTTTCTGGAGGGAGAAAGGGAGACAGTCTGCTGGTCTTTAGTGGACACGTTGCTGAAGGGAGAGAGTAACAGGAGAAGGAGACGTGGAGAGACATGGGTAGCAGCAGTTTGCTGTATTTTGTTTCTATTCCTGAGTCACTTTGATCATAATTTTGAAATGTCTTCCCATTGTGACCCCCAGCATGTATCCCCTTTAGTATCTGCACTTACTGAATGAAGATGTATAGACATGAATGTAAATATTATATAGTATAAATAATGAATATTGACTATGGAATGGACCGTACCATGTCTTTGTTATTCAGGGGTGTGTATGTGTGTGCGTGTGACTGGGCGTGTGTGTCAGATGGGGGGGTTCAGGGCAGAACCTTTAGTCTTTTTATTTTGTTTTCTCTCATTTACATGAGGGGCAAGAATGAATTGTTATTGTAAAGTTCTATGTGTAAGAGGAGTTATTAATATTATTTTAAAAAGAAATATATATGGAATTTTATTTGTATATATGAAGTTTAAAAAGAAAAATGTGAATATTTATTGCTTCTGACAATATAAAAAATGTTCTTGCTGTGAAACATGAGGCTGTCAAGTTTGTTTATTTTATAAAAAGACACTTTATTGAGTCAGCAGCTATATCACCCTGCAGCTCTCAACAGGTTACCCACTGAGGCTGAGCCTGGCCAGTACCTGGATGGGAGACGTCCTGGGAAGCTCAGGCTGCTGCTGGAAGTGGTGTGAGTGGGACCAGCAGGGGGCGCCCACCCTGCGGTCTGTGTGGGTCCTAATGCTCCAATATACTGTAGCGGGCGCCATCTTTCGGATGAGACGTAAAACCGAGGTCCTGACTCTCAGTGGTCATTAAAGATCCCCGGGCGTTTCTCAGTAAGAGAAGGGAGTTATCCCGGTGTCCAGGCCAAATGTCCTCCCTCAGCCTTCACCGTGGCCTCCACACTGTCCCCATGTATGGCTGGCTTGCACCTGCCCTTTGATGGACTGGCGCCCCCTCCAGGGTGCACCCTGCCTTGTGCTCGCTGCTTGCTGGGTACGCTCCGGCTTCCCGTGACACCGTGTGGTATATAGTGCACTTTGGCAAATGACATGACACTTAATTATTGAGTCCAAACGTTTTCAAAGCTCTGATGCAAAATGGCACTCCATTTTCTTTCTAACACTGAATACATTCCCAGACCTATTGGATGAAAAGGTACATTTCTCCTTTCTACAGCTGTGCTGTCTCTTGCTAGATTTGCATTTTTTTCATAAATGGGAACCCAGTCGTGCTCACGTGACAGGGAACACACAACTCCCAGGGGCCAGAATTAAGGATGCTTGAGGAGTTTGCTTCTCCCCCACAGTACCAGCCTGGCCAAGGCTGCGCCCGGGCCTCTGTGGTCCACACCCACGCCTGCTCCTGCTGTCAGCTGGGTGACTGAGCTTGCCTGCCCCTTGTTAATCGCCGCCCCCTGCCAGCTCGCAGACAATGTGGTATCCTGTTTTCAACGGCGCTGATCTTAATCTGATCGGAACACGCCACCGCATCGGCGTCGAAGACACGGCTGCGCGGCCCGTCCGGCAGAACTCGGAACACGCGGCCCACGCCGAGGCGGGCTTGCAGGAGGGCGCCCCTTGACTGGAGCCACTCGGCCCCGCAGACCGAAACAGGGCCAGACTGAAAGCTCCAGGTCAGAGCCCTGCAGGTCCAGTAGGCATCTTTCAATGAGCAGTGCCTCAGGAACTGGGGGGGGGGCAGTTTAACGGCTGTAATTATGCCAAGACTTCCCAACAGCTGGTTTCATAAGCGCTTGTAAGGGAAACTGCCGTTGCCAGACTGGAGTTTTGCTGCCCTGACAGGTCGTCTAAAACCTCCCACTGCAGTACAGCCGCCCGGGCTGCGACTTAAAAAAACACAGCGTGGACAGACGGCCCGAACTCCGGCTTCTTCACGGGTCTGCAGGACCGGCAGGTACTGAACCTGCTCCCGGAGTCGCCTCCTGTCGGCACGTACCGATCCTCATTGCACCCTCCCCCGCTCTCCGCGTCACTGGGGGGTGTACATCGGGGGGCCCTGTCCCCCAGGCAGCATGTCTCGGGTGGGAAGGACTTGCCAGGTCACGTCTGGTCCCTTTGTTAAGGTAAACACGAGCATGCCCACGTGTCCTGGTAGCAAACATGACCAGACCTCCGAGGAGAAGCGCTGCACAAGTACTTCACTACAGCAAGAAGCGCTCCACTTTTTACTTACTCCAAATGACACGCTACAAATTTGATCAATGCTTTTAAAAATAAAAACTCCCCCCCATCGGTCCTGCTGTTTTTCTCGATTTGCACCTTGATATTGTTGCATTTTTAGCAGTGAATTGTGTCCTTAAAGAGAAAAGAGTCAGTTGTGCTCTGTTAATTAGGGCCTCTCACACACTTGTCCCTTGCAAATGAGTTTCTTTTCTGGGAAGAAGGAAGAAACGATTGATAGACCGGTACATGCCGGCCGCAGGCGGGGGGCTGTCGATCAGTCCGACATGCTGAATATCTTACAAAGGAAACAGGAATTCAGATCATGTCCGCGGTCGCACTGGCTGGTTCACAATAAGGCCACACGGGGGCGTGATTCTCGGACAGAAAGGGTGGCGTTTTCCCCTTAATTCATCTCTATCAGCGGGACTAGCTCATAAAAGTTTCACCCGTGCGTGGGCATCGGTAGTCAAAATGTGTAGATTATTGCAAAGCAAACGATAAAACAACAATACTGCAGACATCGCTTCGCAGCGAAACAGGGGGATCCTGCGACAACCGGCCATCGTAGATTGAATGAGAAAAAAAACTTCAATGAATAAAAGAGCGGGCGGACAGCATTTAAAATAAACAAATAATACATTCGTTAAAGAGACGTAGCCGCTAGTCAAATGTTTCTTTTTAATTTGGAGCGATGACGATAAAGGTGGATTTTTTTAAGTTTATGTATCTGGCGGCTTTCGCCGTGCTAGACTAATGAACAGATGTGAACACATATATAACAAGCTAGCAATGATAACTACATAATTACGGGTTAAACAATTTAACGGCTAACCTCCCGATTTGAAGTCGAGGATTAATTTATAATTCAATATTTTTGTTATAGCTGGGGCAGCAGTGATTCCAGTATGTATTGCCATTATATGTGACTTTAATAATTGCGCGGCCTGTGCTGATTTCTTCTAGTGGAGCTTTATAAAATGAGGTACTTAATTATCATAATGACCATGCAAAAGATGGTCTTCTTCAGAAGCACATTGTGCAGCTGGGACGCCATTATCGCACACCGCCGAGGTCACGCTCCTCATGGAGAGGGGAGGAGGAGAGGGGCGGTGACGTCACACAACTTCCTCTGTCCACACAGTGATGTCACTACGCAGGTGGCTGCGTGGGACCCGCCGCCGCGGGCCGGCACTACTTCCCTCGCCAAAAGCCTTAGCGGTGTGTATCATTCCCCGTCACGTCTCCACCTCCCAGCACAATAGACACCACCAGCCCCTACTAACATTCCTAAAACAACACGAATCGAGTGCTCTTTTCCAATCAACCCCTCCCACCCGATAGGTTTATTGTAAAAGGAGCGAGCAAGCCCGTGAACAGCTGGGACTACTTTGTGCCGGCGGAGGGAGGAGACGCAGGCACCGCTCCAGGAGGCTGGGGGTTGTGCTGAGGTCGTGATGGAATCAAGATGGCGGCTCGTCAAGGCGAGGGGAGCTGAGAGGAGTGACAACGATGAGCAGGGAAACCCGGCGGGGCCGCAGTTTAAAACAAAAAAAGAAGCACTCTCGCACGTTCGGGCCTGAGAGGGGCGGGAGGAGAGGCGACGGGTCCTCTGGGCGTCGGGAAAGGGGGGCGAGAGGGAACGTGACTCCTCTGTCGGAAAGTACGGGAGAGAAAGAGACAGTCTGAGGAACTGACCCCAAACAACAACAACACCGGGGACCAGACAACATCCTGAGAGGGGGAGGTGGGGGTGCGCACGACCCGCTCGCAGGACCACACGCCGAAAACGGCACCAGCGGGGGGAGATCAACGAGCCACCGGTCTGAAAAACACACACACAAAAAAGAAAAAACCCAGAAAGAAAGAAGAAGAACTCAACCCGCCGAGCGATCTGGCGACCCGGCCGCGTCTGGGGGCGCTGTGATGGGCTGAACTGTTCCAGGCCGCGGCGCTCTGGACTACAGCGATCCGGGACGCCCTCGCCCCCGAACAAAGAGGCGCCTATTCCGGCACGGCCGCCCTCTTAGCGAGCCGGCAGGGGGCCTTGGCGCCGTCCCTGCGAGCAGCACCGCGGGGGGAGAGGGTTCAGAACAGCCGGACACCTGCGGCCGGGCGGCCGGGCGGTTTTTTTTTTCCGCCAACGCTGCGGCCGACGGCCCTGGAAGTCCAGCCCGTTTCCTCCGGGCGGACAGTCCCACCTCCTCAGTATTCCGGACCCGAGGGGATCTGATGCCCGTTTGTTTGTGTTTTTGTTTTTGGGTGTTTTTTTTTTTGTACATGACCGCTTTCAGTTGTTTTTTTTTTTTTGACAGGCGATAAGCTTTTTGACCCAGATTTCGCGAGAGTCCTGTCGGAGATAAACTCGCACTTCTGTCGGGAGCGCTTTCAGACTTTGGGGCGGCGGGGGGGTGTCTTGAAGTCGACCTGGTCTGTATAATATATATAAAAGAGCACGCAACTCCACGAAGTTACCCTCTGAAACGACTTCGGTGGTCACTGGTGTCAGCGTTTCGCCCGGACGATTTCACGAAACCGAAAACGGCAGCTGCCCCTCGGCCGGGCTGTGCGTCGGTGTGTTTTTTCTCTCCTCCCCAACTTCCCCTCCTCCTCCTCCTCCTCTCATCTCTCGGATTACAAACATCGTCTTGGGAAGTTATTTGACGTTTCCCTTCGCCCTCGACCTCAACCTCGACCTGCGCCCGTCCCGGGGGGGGGTCCGACAGTGTACCGGGGGCTGTGACCGACACCGCCGGACCGGCGTGAAGGAGGTAGCGATGGCGGGGCGGGCTGATCTCGCAGGGTATGGGGGGGGTCCCCCCTCTCGGCCCAGGCCGGTTCCCACGTCTGGGGGGCGCCACTGAGCGGTGTGACGGGGGATAAATGGGTGAAAAGTGTAGTGAATCTGGTGTGTGGTGGTGGTGAGGAGGAGGAGGGGGGTCTGCTTGTATTTGAAGGGCTCTGTTGGGAAAAAATCAACTTTTATTTCGGCCCGCGAGTTCCGGCTGCCAGGGAGGCCGGACAGGCCGGGGCGCCCAGCTCACCCGGTCCCCTCTCCCTCTCCAGCCTCCCGACCCGGACCCTGGACCCGCTCGGCACCGCCGCCGCCGCCATGGAGAGCGACGAGTTCGTCCCGCCGCCCGAGTGCCCGGTGTTCGAGCCCACCTGGGAGGAGTTCGCCGACCCGCTGGGCTACATCGCCAAGATCCGCCCGATCGCCGAGAAGTCCGGCATCTGCAAGATCCGGCCGCCCGTGGTGAGAGCGGGGTGGGCCCGGCCCGGCCCGGGGATGGGGGGGGGTTGTGCGAGGCGGCTGGCGGGGTGTCGTGATCGGGCAGGGCGAGGTGTGTTTTGTCGTGGGGGGGTACCACTGACAGCCCTCCCCCCCCGGAGGCCCGGCCAGGCCGCAGCCCCGCCGCCGAGGCGCTGGAGGCGAGCGCGTCGCGTTGAGCTGGGAGCCGCTAGTATCCGCGGAGCCGGGTCGGAGGAGTTTGGGGCACCGAGAGGGAGGGGAGGGACGTGGGGCCCCAGTCTCGCCATGCTGGAGGGGTGGAGGAGGAGGGGGAGACCCCCCCCCCGCTGCCCTCTCCAGTACACTCAGGCCACAACAGATGAGACGACAGATCCGTCAGACCGCAGCGGAGATCAGACACGTCATCTCGTCTTCCTTTGTATCTCCGAGATGCCTCCTCGCCAGAAACGGATCATCAAGGCCCGTTTTCTTCCAGCCGGCTGCGCTGGGGCGCAGGGGGCCCGGAGCGGGTCTGGACTGGGCCCCTGTACCAACCAGAGCGGTCCGGAGCCTCTCTTACTCGGGGAGACCTTAAACTCAGAGGTGTCGGCACCGCGGGGTGGTCTGTGGTCTCACCACAGACTGAGGTCTGTGATCTCGAAGAATTAAAAAAAAA